ACATTAAAATTTAGTCAAATAGACTTTATTTTCCGAGTGTTCGTGTACAATCCGAGAAAAATGAAAAATTTTAACACTATTGTCTTTTCTTGCGCCTAAATTGTTTGATGTCATTTCCCGAACTTTATTTATTTAAACCTTTTCTAGTATTCTGAAGGTCTGTTCCTTGGAGGTCCTTATGCCTTTGTTTTCCTCCCTGTTGCCTTTGACTGCTAAAAAATGTTTGGTCCCATACCCTATTGAATGTTGTTCATCTTTTGATAAAATATGTTCATTTTGTGCCTTTACAATAGGATTTGGCAGAAAACCTCCACATATTGTTCAATCAGTAAGTAAGAAATAGAAAAAACTGTGATACTTTTCTATAGACCTTCAGGAAGGTGAATTATGGGGCTTTAGGGCAAAAAATTGGCTAAAATTTTTAAGTCAAATCTAAAACCCTCAGAATCACCATAGCATGCGTGCACAGTTTGAAGTCTGTCGTCTTGGAGCTATGGCGGTCACACACAGACACACAGGCTCTATTGTTATTATAGATTTCTATCCTTGTAACAACAAAATTATCGATCTCATAATTAAAAATAATGCCTGAACAATAAGGATTCTAGGTAAAGAAGAGATTATAATAATCACAGACACACAAAACTATTATGTAGCTGTCTTTGACTACTTTGGATGCGATTGGGCATGTCCTAGTGGTTAACGTGCTGAATTGTAAATCCATGAGCCTGTGTTTCACGTACCGCAAGATCGTGCGCCGGAATTTGGGTTCGTGAGTACGTTATAAGAATGACTGTCAAATCCAACACAATTCGATTAAAGTAGCCCAAGAGTTGGGGGTAGTTGCTGTTCACTAGCTGCTTTTCCTCTAGTCTATAATTTTAAAAGTAGGGGCAGTAGAAATAAACATACTTTTAAGCAAATGTTAAGAAATACTCAGTACCAAAAATATTTAAAGAAATGTGACAATAAGGAAAAAATGCGAAACTTGGAGTCCACTTACCATAGATACTGTAGATCCCCATCGTTCTACGGATTCTATATTGGGTGTTAATGGTCTGTACCCACTTCTCAGTGGTTTGTGTTGATTGCTGACTACTAACGGCCCTCTCCTGAACGAATAACTGAAAGCAGAGTTCAGTCCAGTGGTCAAACACAGAGATGTCACACAATAAAGGTGTATAATAGACGTCATTGTTATACAGGTTGTGAAATGTATTGTAATTCGTTTTTGCGAATGAATGTTTTACAACTTTTGGCGTTTCGGATTATCTTATATTACTCTTGAAATTTTATGTGATTATTGAGCAGCTTTCTTCAAATTAAAACTGTTATATCACTCGAAAACATATGGAATACTATTAATTTTCAGTAACTTTTATTTCTTAGTTAACTGAAATGCCATGCGGTGGCGCGCCGTTGTTTTTTCCTAGGTGAAGTCTTCGGAATAATAGACCATCACAATAAACAGTCTTGCTTCTTAAAGTATATCAAACATGAATTTCTGATTGGCTATTATCAGAACGTGTCGGATGATGTGTTTTGTCCAATAGCAGCTGTTATGTCGTCTTCACGTGAAGCTTGTTCGTGTGGTCCTCCTGTTTGTATATTTTGTAGGATTATACCAGAGGTTTTTTGGGAGGTATTGGGGAGGTGTCAGTGACCGACGTGTGAAATTTGTCACGCCTTCGTATGAAGTAAAAAAGTTACACCTTACGATTTACCTTATTCACTCTTTCCCACATTTCTCTCTCAACACACATTTATAAACATTCCTTACAGCCTTGTGAATTATGAGTACGAGGAAGAAATTAAAGCAGGAAACGATCATGACCCAAATAGAATAGTAAAGGTTGTACCCGAAAAATAAAAGGATCTTACTCTTTCAAGTGGTTATACGATGTTAGTTTTATTTGTCTTTATCTTTTATGAAGTATATATTTTCCACTTTGATTGTTAGTGCCATTACGGTATTTAAAGGGAAGAGACATATCAGTGCCATTATTTTCTTGGTTTTACTTCCAAGTGGGGTTCCCCTTCACATCGACTCCATAAAACACTGATTTGTTAGACAGAATTTTAGCGCATGCATATGTCATTCATGGTTTATCAATTTTATAAGAGAATTACATCAAACTTACAAGGACGATTCTCTTTGCTAAGGAATTTGGAAAATAAGAAAAACAAAAAAACCATTTGAACAACCAAATGTTAGTTTTGTTTCATGATTAAAAACGCATCCATGACATACATAATTCAAATTAAGTTGAAAGATTTTTTTAGTTATTGACTCCTCAGTACTTTACCAAAATTTTATCAATTCTCCAAATGATTGTGTAGCCTTGGTCATGGTTTCATGAACAAGCCTGTGTTAAGATTGAACTGTGAGTCATGTCTTTATTACAATTATATCACTCTCACGCGAAATATACTGAAATATCATGCTGAGGTTTTACAACTGACCTATCTTGACAAAGGTTAGGCCTAACGGTTGAATGCATGCGACGCATTCCAAAAGTAATTCAATAGAATTTCAAGTTTATTTTTCTTCTCTGCCTTGACAGTTTTGGAAGTATTACAGAACACCGTAATGTATAATTTTATTACTTACGTACAACCCTTATGAGAAAAAAACAAGATAATGGCAGGTAACATTTCCATAGAAAAACCGCTTAGCGTTTGGTTTGTATTTTTATGTGAATTTCAATATTGCGTGTTGCATCGATTCTGATATAATGTGGGTCAACGGTAAGTTTACATATCTACAACGCTAATATTAAGGGTTCGAGTTCTTGTAATGGATAAAGCGCAGATAGCCTGTTGCTTCAAGTAACCCAGAGTTTCGGAGAAGAGATGTAATTATTCCAAATGGTTTAATCCACCACCACAGGCCAAAACCAAAAACGAGTGCACTTTTTAACAAGCATTGTGCACATTAACCACCATTATAGTTTGTTGACCAGTTTATTTGATTTTGACCTCTGAACTCTTGCAGGATGGTAGGGTAAGAAAAATAACGTAAGAAAAACTTCGGTTATATTCGAGTATTAATTAAAACAAAGCTCGAGAACTGATGTTATAAGATGTCTCGTTTCACACAAAAACAAGATTAAAGTAAGAACAATTCTGTAACAGGAGGTTTAAACAGGTTCTGAAAGATTGCAAGATAAGTATTTAGTATAACCAAGCCGATCTTGTGGCTTTAGCTCTTGAAATGTTGCTACTAAGTCTTGTTGACAATGGGGGCTCGTCAGGTGAGAGTGTAATGAATCATTGATTAATTCCTAATAAAACATCGATCACGGCGTACTATTTCTACAAAAGGGAACAATGAGTGAGTTCAAACAAGTAACACCGAGTGTATTAGAACGGCCTGTTGCCATTGCCAACAGGTAAGCTTAGTTAGGCTTAACGACGAAATGAGAACTGCACTTTACGCTGACTTCAGTTGAAAATGAAGCCATGTGCCTCACTTTTAAAAAAAAGACCACCATCCGCCACTTAAAAAAAAAAAAAATTAGAAAGTTTTTCTGTACATTCACAGTGTTGAACATTTGCGGCTGTTCCCCCATATAGTGAGCGTAAATTATTAATCAACGTGCCAGGCTGCTGCCTAAAGGCCCGAGATTTGAGGCTCTGTGTGTCGCTTTAGAGGCTTCGCAGTTTCAGTTGTGGAGGCGCCATAACTGTGACGTTCAGTGTCGCTATTAAGAACAGTCGATGTTAAGCGACGGATGTTGCTGACTCGTAGCCATCACTTTGTTCAGCTGTTCTAATTTAGGTTTAACTTTGCCTGAACCTTAGGGCCTTTGACATAGCCGTTAAGTTCATGTGCTACTCATATCAAACATACCCCGTACTGACAAAAAGATAGCACCAGGTTCTTCCTTCTGTGAAACAATAATTGTAGTAATTGATCTACAGTAGTTTTTGTGTAGTATTTTGAAATAAATCATCTTGAAATGACTCGGCGTCGTATCATTTTAATACGTTTTTCAACTTTTTATAGATGTTGCTGTGAAATGTGAATGTTATCTGTGGCGTATGTTGTTGATGTTTCAGCTTTGTGAATAATATCTACATAAATATCCTTTTTAATAGCCCATTTTGTAGCAGTTATAAGGCTATTACCGAACTTAATGGACCAAAACGCAGGAAAATGTAGTATAAACCTTGGTATTAACCGTTGACGGGGGCAAATTATAGGGTTTCCTTTTCATGTGACGTAATGTGATCTGATGTGCATTCTCGTATCCTGTATGTTGTTGACGTCTGAGATTTTTCATTAAAATTAAAGTAAGTACTTTTTTAATGTTCGAGAATAAAGATTCCTTCAATGGGAAAGCTACTCACATAGGCAGGAAGTCGTAATAACAACTAAAACACAATAAAGATTCATTCAATGGGAAAGCTACTCACATAGGCAGGAAGTCGTAATAACAACTAAAACAAAAAGACAACTTTTTTCTTATTCACAAACTCGAATTCCAGCTATGAAGTTGTTAGCTTATTCGACTTGGTTTAGGCCTACCGCTGTAACAACGAGCCAAGTTTGGTAACCCTTAAATGGATTATATATATATATATATACTAGCCGCACCTAGCGTATAGCCTGTCAAAAATGATGGGGCGATTACTACCACCCCCACCCTATAGTATACCCTAACCTCACATTTCTTAGCTAACTAAAATAAATAAATTTTACAAAATCAAGCTTGACCAACAAAGAGGCAGAAAAGTGCAGTCGAGGGAGTGAAACGTCGGTAAATTAATTTGTAAGCCAATCAAAATTAAGATCATTCATGAAATGAATTCGTGGCGTGTTATGGAATAATTATTGGTAAAAAGAAGTTAAATTAACAATTATACAGAAAACCATTGCATTTTGGTAACATAACGTTCCAACAGTGACTCTTATGTTGCTTAGCAACAAAAGTATAACCTAATATTGTTGTAAGATTAGTTCTAGTTACATAATAATTGCGTAGGCGTGGAAATAACAAAATGCAAAATCTATATAGTACTAAAACTTGAGATTGTTTGCTTGCTTGTCTATAATTAAATACAGCAAAACAGCGCACAATATCGCCATATTTGTAATGAAATGAGAATAGAAACAGAATAAAACAAGTTTCGTTAAAATCGGGCCACGGGTTACTGAGTTAGCGCCGTTTTTCGAGTCATTTTTATGAAAATTTCTAGCATGAGTAATTTTCCATCACACTACTGTTTGCGCTCTTTATGAAACTTCTT